GCAGTGGAAACACGGAGTCTTTTCCTGAGAGGGGAGAGATGAGCTGGCAGCAGCAGAAATCACCGGTGTCCTGGGGAGGGCTGGGGATGTCCCCCAGCTTGAGGGTGGCTCCTGGTCATTCCTGGGCACTCAGTACCACAGATGATTGTCACTCCTGCTCATCCTCACCAGGGAGGTCTGTGTGGGTCCCATTCTTCCTTCAACCCCCCAGCCCCAAGCCCAGCACCCCCTGGAGCAGTCAGGGGGGCAGCCAGCTGAGCCAAGTGGGCAGGAGGCTTCCTGCCTGCCTTCCTCCCCTTCCTCCTCCTCCTCCGCGATGCTCCGGGCATGGCAGGTCAGGCAGCAAAGACTCATGGAGGGCAGGACCTGGTGGATGGCCCCAGGGCTGACAGGGATATGGCCAGAGGACTTGGCAGTGCCAGCTGCAGTCCCCACTGTCTGGTAGCCCCATAGCCAGAGGGAGATGCCAGTAGAAATCTTGGAGGCTTGCCAGGGCTGGGACAGTGGCCGCAGAATGAAGCAGGCATGTTGCAAAGCCCACAGCAAGGTGGTCAATGGGGGGGGCTGGAGACTGTGGGATGGGGTGGCATCATGGCCAAAATCCCATGGTTGTGAGACTGGAGCTCATGGTGGGCCTCCTGGCTGCTGGGCTCCCCATGGGGCTCTCCTGGTGGTGCCAGGGCTTGTGGCTGCTTGACCATGGCAGCAGCAGATGTGCTGCCTGGTACTGGTACCACTTCACTGCCTCCCGTCCCGCCGGCTGTGAGCAAACGGCCCCTCTGCCCCCCGCGGGGCACAGGCAGCCCCCAGCCGGCGGGACCCCCCTGCCCTGTTTTCCTTCACCATTTGTCTGCCTGTGCAGAGCCTGTAAATCACACGGTGAGGGGAGCAGAGAGCCAAGCCGGGGGTCCTGCTGGGGCCGTGCAGGGCTGCACCAGGGACGGGGGTTCCCGCTGGGGTTGGGGACATACGGGGCTGTGCTAAGGGCCAGGGATCTTGCTGGGGCTGAGGTCATGGAGGGGTCTGCTCTGTGTCCACACTGACACCTCTCACCGTGTATGAAGGACACTGACCCTCTTCTGTAGGCCCCGCCCAGGCACAGAGCCCTGTAAAAGGGCATGTGCAGGCAGTGCCAAGGGCAGAGGTGGGGATGGGCAAGCCCCTGGCACGACAGGCATGGAGCAGGCAGGGAACAGGCAGGTGCCTGTGCAGAGAGCGGAATCTCTGCTCTGCCCCCCTCTCACCCCCACATCCCGCTGGGCTGTGCCTGGGGGGTCACAGCCGCCCCCGGCCCTGACAGGCAGCAAGACGGATGGCAGGGGCTGTGTACTCAGCTGCACACCCCACACATGGCCACCAGCTGACAGGGACAGGCTGGGGGGGGGTGTCACCCAGTCCCTGCTCCCAGCCGACCTGCCCCAGGGCTTTTCTGGGGGGCACAGCCGTGTGTGGGGTGCTGGTGGCCTGTGCTGCTGTGCTGAGGTCTGGGACATGGTGGGGCACAGGCAGGGAAGGAGCAGCAGGCACTGGAGATGGCTCAGCGAGGGGCAGGGGCTGCACACGCGTGCGTGTGCGTGGGTGAGCAGCTGTACACATCTGTGCATCCAGGCGTGTGTGGGCACGTGTGCATGATGTGTATAATCGTGCGTCTGTGCATGGATATACATGGCTATGAGGGTGTGTGCACATGTTTGCAGAGTGTCACACGCGTGTGTACATGTGTGTGAGGATGCGTGTGCAGGGTGCCACCACCTCCTGCTGCAGTGAACTCCCCAGGTTGGCACATAAGTGCGACCACCACCTCACCAGACCCTGCACACGGGGGGACGGACGGACAGAAGGAGCTGTCAGCCCTGGCTGAGAGACCAGCAGGAGCCATGGGAAGCAGGGAATGCTGCCTGCTCCCTGCCTGTCCAGCTGCCCGCGAATGCTGCAGGGAGGACGCACAGCAGCAGCCGTGTTTTCCTGTGCTGCCTGGCAGGCGTGTGGTACAGGACGTGCATCCCCATGCCTGGATCCCCTTGGCCCCCCCAGCACTGCAGCCTCGGCTCTGACTCAGCCAGGCAGCACGAGGCTCAGCTGGGGCTGCGGAATCACAAACCTTCCGCCGGCTTGAGCGGGTGCCAGGACACGGTGGGGTTTGGCATCGCAGCGCTCCCGGCTGATCCAGCCAAACAAGCTGACCCCTGGGCAGAGGGTAGCATTGGGCAGTGGGTCAGGCATGCACAGGACCCTGAGAGGGATACATGGCATGGAGGGGACATGGCCCGAGCATGGGGTTGCCGCCCTGACCCCAGTCCAACCAGGCCCTCCCAGGCTGGGGGGCATTAAGGGGTTGGGGCGCTGGGCACCCCAAGGGCTGGGTCCTGCCTCCACTGCCAGAAAAATGCCCCCTGCCCCCACTCCAGGGAGTGTTTATCTTTGAGGTGATACTTAAGTGTAAGAAAATAAACAGGGAGCAGATGGGCCAGGGGCCAGGGCTGCCCCCAGCCCTGTGGGGCCACTCTGGCCCTGCTGGGAAAACACCACGGCCGGCGAGGCAAATGGATTCCAGACCTGCGGCACTGATGGAACATGTGGCCACCAGGACATCGGGCCTGACCCTGCTGAGCCCCAGTGAAGCAGTTCTAGACTGAGTGGTCCAACCTCACCCCATCCCATCCCATCCCATCCCATCCCATCCCATCCGACCATATCACATCTATCCCATCCCACCCCACCCTATCCAATCATATCCCATCCTACCACACCGCATGCCATCCATCCCATCATATCCCTCCCCATCCCACTCCATCCCACTGACTCCCCTAAGGGCACTGCCTGGCCCCACTTGCCTGTAGCCCCTGACCAGCCCCTGGTGCTGGGGGATGTCCAGGACTGGCCCCTCTGCCTGTGGGTCCCCAATTTTGGGGTTCTCAGACCAGTGAGGGCACAGGCTCAGGAGCTGCCCCATCCCGGAGCCCTGCCCTGCCCAGCTGGGCACACGCATCCTCTGAGTCCAGGTGCCTCCCACCCCATATTGAGCCCAGCAGGGCTGGGGTGTCATTCCAGGGGAGCCTATCCCTGCTCCCTAACACTGGGAGACAAGGGCTGGCAAACCTGGGAACCCCTGGAGCCCTCTTGGGTGGGGAGGAGCAGTCAGAGTCTCATGGGGACTAGGCCTTGTGAAACCTTTGGAGGAGCAGGAGTGTTTTCCTATTTTCCGGTATCAGGGCTGTGTCAGGGTGACCTGGTGGATTCCCAAGCAGTGTGGGAAGCACCAAGCCCCCTCCACCCCCCAGGCTGTACCTGCGGGTCAGGGCTGCCGGTCTGGAAAGCATTACATGCCTGTCGTGCGGGGAAGTCTGTCCCAGTTCCGGAGCCGGGACCCCCCCCACCCGTCCTGGGCTGGGGGGAGCCCACAAAGCGCCTTTGTTCCTGCCCTGGAACGAATGGATTGGAAGCAGCCGGATCGGCTGTCAGCCGGCGACACCGGAGACCCCGCGGGTCAGGCAGAGGGAAGGGGGACAGGTGGAGGACGGACGGATGGAGGCAATGCAGGGATCTCAGGCTCTGGCAAGCCCCACTCCCGTGCCAGCCAGGGGGTTGTGGCACCATCAGCACCAGCTGCGGACCAGCTTCCGCTGCCCACACCGTGCCAGCACCGGGGATGCACCGGTCAGGCCTGGAGATGCTCGCACAGCACCTTGGACACAGTGTCTGGTCCTGGTTCCAGTGAGCCCTCGGAGCAGTGTCACAGGGCACCCTGGCGCTGGCACAGACCCCCGGCACCGTTGGCAGGGGGTGGGAAGCTGGAAGACCAGATCCTGCAGTGGGTCTTCCAGGTGGAAGAAGCCCCCATGGGATGCAAGGAGAGGACTTGCAGAATCTGGGCATCCTTGGTTCATTTCTACTTGTGGAGTCCCAGCTCTGCTGAGCTGTCTTTCATCCGAGGGAAGACGGGGCACAAACCTGTGGGAGAGGGGTGAGCAGAGTCCACATGAGATGCCCAGCACTGGGGGCACACAGGACCTGGGCAAATACCAGTCCCTGCCATTGGACACCCATTTGGGGCACCTTGGAGATGTCCACGCTGCCACAGGAGCTGCAGCAGGAGCTGCTGCCTCCTCCCCTCACCCCCCGCTCTCTAACAAGAGGAAACTTTTTAGCACGCCACAATTCTTCGGAGAAATTTATGGCCCATTAGGGAGCCGCAGGCCAGGGTTGCTCTCTGTGAGTGCTTGCAGGGCTTCCTCTCAGCGCACAGCCACTTTGATGTGGCACATGCAGCTCTGCCGCACCGGAGTCTCCTCCCGGTCCCTTCCCTCGTCCAGCACCCCCAGCCCACCCTGCTCTTCCTCCCCAGTGGATCCTGAGGAAATGCAGAGGCAGTGGTGAAGCGTGTGCCCTGTCCAATGCCAGCACTGCCAGCTCCTGCCATGCATGCTACGCTGCAGAGCTGCTGCCTGGGGGCCATGCCCTCCATCCAAACCCTCTCCCAGCCCGTTTCTGCCCCGGGAGGACAGGATCTGTCCAGGAAGGAGCATGACTGAGGAGGTAGAAGTGTCCAGCTGCAGTTCCTGTCCCAGTCCTGCTGCTGACTCATGGTGTGGTGGGTGAGTCAGTAGCCTTTCCCCTCCCTGGACGGAGGCTCCCGACTTGGAGGGATGCTGAGATGCCCAGGGGATGCTTGGGGAGGTTTTTCCAGCCTGCATATGGGGTGACGACGCGGTGCTTGCAGACATGACACCATCCCAGCACGGCGGGACCACATGTGCTCCCACTGCCGGGCCAGAGATGACCCTGAATTCAGCTGCATGGCTGGGCTGTCTGGCAGAGCACTGTCCTTGCACAGCATTCATCCCCTTGCAGAATATCCATCCCCTTGCAGAGCATCTGTCCCTGCTCCATGTGCCCACAGCCACTGCTCTTGCTGGTGCCAGGCCATCATGCTGTGCCGTGCTGTGCCGTGCTCCACCCTGCTCCCAATCCCATCACACCCCAGCACCAGGCCCGGGAGCTGTGGGGCTTTGATCACCTTTATTCCAGGTGCAGCAGCAGATGTCCCCACCCCAGCATTTTGGAGGTGTCCCCATGGACAGGGGGACCACGGGATGTGTCCGGGGTTGGAGTAGACGTTTTTGGGGCAGGCACAGCCCAGGGTCCCCCCGATCCGGGCACAGGGTGTGCCCAGAGTCGCCGTGTGAGGGCTGGGGACTGGCCTTGCCCGGTTCAGCTGTGCTTCCTCCCAGTGCCTCTGTGTCTTGATTCAGCTGTGTCCCGCTTTGCTTCTCTGCCTTCCTGGTCCATCTGTATCCCTTCCTGGTACATCTGTGCCTCGGACGGGCTGTGACCTGTCCCAGTTCCAGTGTGCCCTGCTTCAGTCCGTCCCGGTTGAGTCGTGCCCCGGTTAAGCCCCTCCTGTCCCGGTTCAGCCATTCCCGGTTGAGCCATGCCCCGGTTCCGCCCGTTCCATCACCGTTCAGCTATTCCCGGTTGAGCCGTGCCCCGGTTCAGCCCACCCCAACCAGTTCACCCCGTCCTGGTTCATCCCGTCCCGTCCTGGTTCATCCCGTCCCGTCCCGTCCCGGTCCCCGCAGTCTCTCGTGGCGGCGGAGCGCGGCACAATATCGCCACCTGCCGGCCCCGCCCCGCCCCGGACACCTCCCGGTACCGGCGAGACCCTGACCCCATCCCGGCTGGAGAGACTCCAGGGACTCCCCTCAGGGTTGGAAGACCCTGACCCTATCCCGGCTGGAGGAACCTCGAGGACCTGCGCCCAAGGTTGGAGGACACTGACCCCATCCCTGTTGGAGGGACTCCGGGACCCCCCCTCAGGGCTGGGGGACCCCGACCCCATCTTCACCGGGGGCTCACGGGTAGGAACCAATGGCAACAGCGGGGGCTGCGGGTGCATCCTCGGGATGCTGGGCTAGCGCAGGTCGGGCGTGGAGGAGCCCAGGTAGGTTCGGAGGTCGCTGAGGGTGGAGGGGATGATCTTGGCGGGGATGGTCTCCCGCTGGAGTGCCTGGTGGGCTGCGTAGCGGTGGCAGCCCCCAAAGGAGTAGAAGTAGTCACCGCCCTCGCTGCCTTTGACCCAGAGCACGTCGATGGGGGGCACTCGCTCGGGATCTTCCTGGGAAGGGACAGAGACATCCAAGAGTAACACACTCCAGCACCCCCAACCCACCCCAGCACCCCCAACCCACCCCGACACCCCCCGACCTGTCTGTGTTGGGGCTTGGGTGCTGCGAGCTTCCCCAGCAGTGCCCCCCAGGTGGCACGGGTAGGTGTGGGAGGGGCTGCCCGGGCACCCCGGGAGGGCTGCACTCACCTGCAGGGTCTCCACCAGGCTCTGCACTTTCCCTGGATCCAGCTCTGGCGGGATGGGCCGGATGAGGACGCTCATGGGCACGTTGTGTACGGTCGAGATGTGCTGTGTGTGAATGCTCCGATCATCGGGCTCGGCCATGGCTGCTGCTGCCAGCCGCCCTTGGCCTTCCTCCTTCCTGCCCAGCCGAGCCCTCTGCTCTGCCCCGAGCAGTGCAGCGCCCAGCCGGGCTGCTCTACTTCCTCCTGGCCCGGCCATCGTCATCGTCACCGCCGCCGCCCCGCTGTTTTGCAGAGTCACAGTGAAGGGGCAGGACGGGCTGCCGGGACGGGTGCCAGAGCCAGCTGGCCCGCTGCCTGCTCCTGCGAGCCTGCAGTCAGGGCTGCCCTCACCTCCTCATCCCCATGGGACAATCCTCGGCACGTGGCAGCTGAGCTCCCTACCAGCTGTGCTGGGGGTCCCTGTCCTACCCCCCCACCCCAAAAGCTGCCCGGGGGTCTCTTCTCCCACCTGGCCATGCTGGCACACTAAGGATCATTCTGTAGCATCTCCTCTGGGAGCTGGGATGTGCCCCCCACCTGCCTGGCTGTACCAGGAACACATCCCCACCCCAGAGCCCCCTTCCTGCCAAGCTGATGCCCGTGGGGTCCTCGGCGAGGAAGAGGAGGCATGACACAGCCCCAGAGCTGAGCAGCAGTGCTGGGATTCTCCACAGCTGGGGCATTAGACACCGCAGCATTCCAACCCTGAATCTTTCTAGGTCATTTCTTCAGACCAGTGTCCTAAATGGGGAGAGGCTCCCGGGAAGAACTGGGTCCCCCACCCCACCAGCTGCTGCAACCGGGGCATCCTGGATCCATAGTGGGGTTGTGATGCCGGCAGATGGCTGCTCCCAGTGCCCTCACCCTGGCTCCTGGGGGGCATGGAGGGTCCCCAGCCCTGGAGCTGACTCGGAAACACGCTAGTGGTGGTCAGGGATGGGTTTGTGAGGCTCTGGGATTAGTATTTTGCAGGGTGAATCTGCTGATGACTTCGCAGGTGAATGGTTGCACAGATGTCACTGGGAGTGCAGGACTCAGCGAGGGCACTGCTGACAAGCCGGATACCAAAAAAAATTTGCCCTCCCCCTTTGGCACTCACATGCGGGGAAGGCTGAGGGGAGAGGGGAGAGGGAGCCCCTGGGAGCAGGGTCTCTGCTGGGTTGTTCCCACCACCCCTGACCACATCCCACGGGAGTGGATGCCAGCACGGCAACAGCTGAAATAAAATCTGCTCACCGAATCCTCCCCATCCAGCGCGGTGGAGCCCCAGGGGTGTGTGAGCATCGTCGCCCCCCTCCCGGGCTGCCCACCGGGCTCTGCGCCTGCTGCCGGGATTTCACACACTGCTTTACTTCCAGGTCAGCGCTCTGCCGTGCTCACAGCCCCCGGCGCCCTCACGAGCAGGATGGCATCATAACACCCCCCCTTGTCACGGCAGGGGGCTGTCTGGCTGCTGCCCACTGGCTGCAGGGCTGGCACGGCCACACGGGCAGCGTGGGATGCTCTGGGTGCCTCAGCCACCTGGTCCCAGCAGGCTGCCAGGACATCGCCCCTCACTTTGGGGCAGTTCTCTCCACGATGCTCCAGCCCAGGACTGGGTGTGGGCATGGGGCACCGTGGGGATGGGCATGCTGGCAGCTGGCGTGCCACCACCCGCCACCGGCGGCACAAATCCCCTGAGACACGTGGTTAGTGGCAGAAATCCCTTTTATATCCCTGAATTGCGTTACAAGTAATACTGCGGGCGGCCGGATCTCAGTAGACTTGTCGTACTGGGGCTGGCGAGTACAAAACCTGGCAGAAAAAATCTATCATGCACGGAAAATTATTGCTGTAGTATCTGCTATTTACAGGAGAGAGGGGCAGCGGCGCGGTGCTCCGAGCCTGCCGGCTGCAGGACGCCGCGCTCCGTGGAATGGCGCCGGCATCACGGGGAAAGCCCGGAGGGTGCCTGCATGGCCGGGGCGATGGTCATCCCCTGCGTGGGGTGCGGATGCATGACCACAGTGCCACAGCAGGAGCATGACAGGGACATCCCCACTGAGCCCGTGACCAACGCGGGCACCGAGGCGGCGAGAGGAAGACGGTGCAGGGAGGAAGACGGTGCAGGAAGACGGTGTGGGGGTGCACGAGTGCGGCCCCGTGATGTGCCGGGCTGAGCCCCAAGGTGTCGAGGACTGGCACAGGGTGATGGGGCTGTGGCAGCTCGTGGCCCGAGGTAGGAGGCGGAGGCGTGGGTCGGGCCCCGCTCCGGGATGCCGTGCACGGCGCTCGCTCCGGGGCCGGTGAGGGGAGGCTCCGCCAGGAGGTTGCATAGAGTGGCTGGTTTGTCCCCACCGGGCTGGCACGGGGCACGGAGCAAAGCAGGAGCCTGCGGCAGTAAGGAAGACGAAGGAGAAGCGCTTTGCCTTTGGGGGAGGCTTGCAGGGCGTGGAGCCCAGGCTGCTGGGCCAGCTCGTGCCCTCCCCAGGCCCCGCCGCACTGTCCACTCTCAGGGTCCTGTCCCCATCTGTGCCACCGTGGCTTGTCCTGGGCACGGCAGCTCTGCTGCAGCTCTGCCACCTCCTGTGAGCCAGCGCTGGCCCGGCCTGGCCAGTCTTGGCAAATAAATAGTGAAAAGCATAAGTTATAAATAATATAAATAAGAACATTTAAATAGACTCACCCAAACTTTACGGCTACTCTCACCCCCTCCTCCTGAGCGCAGGCAGGGGGGGTGATGGTGAGGAGCTGGGAGTTGGCTGGAGAAGGGGCTGAGGAAGGGTTAGGGCTACATGGGGGGGCAGTTGGGGGTTTGGGTGCTGCCTGCCCCAGGGCTGGGTCTCCAGCCCAGCTGCCAGCCCAGCCATTCGCACGGCAAGGGGGGCTGCACCTGTCTGGGGGGGCTATTTCCCAGCCCATCACCGTGGCGGAGGCCAGTTGTGCCTGGCCAAGCCAGGAGCTGGGATCCAACGGAGGACATATCCCATGGATCTCTGCTGGGAGCCCCTTGCTCTTCCCCTAACTCTGGGGCTGTGGAGCCACAGTGCCAGGGTGAACACAGTGCCAGAGGGCAGGGGGGCAGCAGGGTGCCCTGGGTGGTGGGCTGCAGGGACCGCAGCCTCCAAGGGTGACTGGTAGCCCTGCCCTCCGTCAGCCTCAGTGGCCGTCAGTCCTGCTGAGCCGGCAGTAGCTTCTGCCCATGGTCCCATCAGGGTTAGGGTCAAGGGGAGGGTATGCTCCTGGTGGGGAGCAGAAAAGTGTCTTTTCTCCCCCGGGATCCCCCGGAGTGAGAAGCAGCAGCTCTAAATAAATAATAGTAATAAATTAAATAAATAAAGGTGAAAATCACAAGCTGGGGAGGAAATCTCTCCTGGATCTGGAAGAGGTCCCCAGGTGAGTCCCCTGCAGAGAAACCTGCCTGGCTGCAGGGGGAGCTCGGGGACCCATAGGCTTGGAGCTGGGTCCCATTGCGGGGTACCCCCTTCCCAGGGAGCAGTAGGGTATCCTTCTCCCAGGTGGGGAGTGAGTCTGCAGGGATGTGTCCTCCAGCCTCAGCACAGCTTCAAACTGGCTGGCTGCAGCTGCAGGAGTGCTGGCATGGGGACTGGGACCAGGATGGGATGGGGATGGGGATGGGGTGGGATGTGGATGGGAATGGGGACAGGCACGGGATGAGATGGGGATGGGGATTGGATACAGGGATGAAGATGGGGATGCGCCACAGCGGGCTGGGGGCCTAGTTCCCTATTGCACAGCTGTGTTCGGAGCCCTTGAAGCAGGCGGACTCGTAGTGCTTGTTGAGGTACGACTTGAGGGCGAAGGTCTTCTCACACTGCTTGCACTTGTAGTGCTTGAAGGCGGAGTGGGTCTGCATGTGGGCGCGCAGGTTGGAGCGGTCGGCGAAGGCCTTCCCGCAGTGGGAGCAGCCAAAGGGCTTCTCCCCAGTGTGGGATCGCATGTGGCCCTGCAGCAGCCAGGGCCGGCTGAAGGCTTTGCCGCACACGTCGCACTTGTGCTTGAGGTTGTGGGTGAGGACGTGCATGGCCAGGGCGGGCATGGAGACGTACGCCTTCCCGCAGGTGGGGCATTTCCTCGCCATCTTGCTGTCCAGGCTGCGGTGGGTCTGCTTGTGCCGGCTGAGGTTGGAGGAGGTGGCGTAGGTCTTGCCGCACTCGGGGCAGGAGTGGCGGTGGCTGCCTCGGCGCTGGCTCTCGCTGCGCCGGCGCGACCGCCCGTCCGTGATGAAGAAGGCATCCATGGAGTAGCTGTCTGTCACCGCTGCCTCCCCGTTGAAGTAGCGGGCGGAGAAGCTGGACTGGGGGCTCTCGGGGTCGCTGTACTCCTCGTGGCCGGGTGCATAGGCTGGGTCCGGCGGTGGTGGTGGCAGACCTTGCTTCTTGTCTGTGTCGTAGCCAGCTGGTGCCAGGCAGTGCTGGAGGTACCCTGTGGGAACAGCACAGCAACGTCACCACCCCTCCGGGCCAGCCCCACCAGGGACAGGGGAAAGACATGACCCGAAATTGCCCATTGGAGGTGCAGAACTGGGGTTGTCCCTCCCTCACTGGTCCTGGTCCCCACCGAGTCACTTGAGTACTGGAACTGCCTCGTCCTGCCCTGGCTCCTGTCTGCATCTCTCGGCAGGATGGGTCCCATCCCGTAGCGGTGGAAACCGGGAATGGGGCCATGGAACGTCCAGATGTGCCTGCCCCGGCTGTGGGCAGCCTCTGGGGGCCATTAGCTGCCAGACAGCTGTCGGTGCCGGGAGCCTCATTGGGAGCCTCATTGTTCACCGTGGCCGTGCCGGTAATGAGCTCTGCTCCGTGGGCAACCACGGTGAGGGGGACGAGACCACTTTCCCCAGCAAAGGGGCTGGGAAAGCCATACACATCTCCGCTGTCCGTCCAGGGTCTATTCTCTGGAGATGGGGCAGCACCGGGGTCCTGCGCTCCCACCATGGAGGGGGACCCACAGCCCCCCAGGTGTGGAGTAGGGCTCGGGTACCACTCCACTGGCATGACCCCCATGTGACATTGGTGCTGCTCATGACCCCACTTCACACGTGGGACTCCCAACCTGTGGCAGAGAGAGCGCCTCACTGGTATCCTGGTCCCTCCATCCTGTCATATGAAGGTCACCGCAGAAGCAGCAGCGCAGTCCCCTTCCCACCGGGCCAACAACTCTGGTGGACACACTGGCACTCCAGGACCACCAAACTGGTCCCAGCAGTCCCCTGCCTTGTGCACACTGGTCCCTGCAAGCTGCTTGGTAACAGAGGGGCTGTCAGGGGCCTGGGATCGGTGCATGGCTGGACTCACCAGTGCATGCTGTGGGGCAGGGTGAACAGCCGTGGCAAAGCATCCTCCAAACCCAGATCCCCGGCCAGCACCCACAGGATGCCCTGCCTGGGGCAAGCAACCGCCGCCGTTTGTCCCGTGGCTGCCGGGGATGCCTGTGGTGGGGAGGGGGCTGCGTGGTGGGAGCAGAGCCGGGCCCCCCCGTCCCCCGCGCCGTGCTGACAGCGCGGGCTGTGCAGAAAGCGCTCTGCTCAGCAATTTCTCACGCTGCCTCCGAGCATGCAGCAAGGTTATTTCCAGGAGAGCAGCGTCGGCAGCTTCTGCCCAGCTGCAGCACATCCCTCCCCCACCGGCTCCTGGCTCCTGAGGAGGGGGGAACAGAGGACCCCCTGGCCAGACGGGTCTAAAACCCCGGCCTCGGATAGGGAAAACCCATCAAGGGCTGGGGAGCACTACAAAAGGGGGGACAGGCACTGCAACGGTTGGCAATGTTGGCTTGTTCATGGCTGGATCAGGCCCATTCCCGCATGCAGCTCCGTCTCCCGGCCCCCGAGCATCCAGGACTCCCCAGCCTAAGGAATGGAGCCCCCTGACCTCCCGCCGTCCCCTCTTCCCCAGGACAGGTCTCTGGGCCGCCCCGTCGGGAGGCTCTGCCGAGCCTGGGGGACTCCGAGCCCACCCCAGATTCCCCCCGCAGGATGGGGCTCTAAGGACCCCGGCCACCCCCAGCCCAGCCCTTCGCACCTCTCCCAGCGCTCCGGCGGGGGTGCCCCCCTCTTCTCCCCCGCCTGCTCCCCGTGCCCCGGGGGGGCGCCGGCCCCCACCGCGTTCCCAGGGGGGCTCGGGGCACCGCTGCGAACAATGAAACCCGCCGGCACGGCGAGGCTGCCGCCCCCGCCGCCCCTCGCCGCCCCCGCAACCCGGCTGCTTCGTGCCCCCCCAAACTTGTCGTGGGAAGGAGCCCATCTCTGTGCTCCCCGGGCGGAAGGGGAGCTCGGGGCTGCCCACGGGGCTGACGCTGTCACGCAGGGGATGTTTCCCCAAAGGACCAACTTCGGCAGCGCCCGGTGGCCCCGAAGCGGGGGACAAGACGACGAGCGATGACACCCCCCCATCCCGCACCCCCTGCCCTCCGCGGGACACAACGCGGGGACCCCCGGCCCGTCCTGCCCCGCGTCCCCCCTGTGTCTCCTCCCCGGTGCCCCGCCGGGCGCACAGACAATAGCGGCGGGGGGGCCCCTCTGGACCCCCGGCCCCGCACTCACCATCGCCGGCGGCGGGGCCGGGCAGCGTGTAGGGGGGCTCCAGGGGGGCGTAGGGGGGCGCGGGGGCCCCGGCGGCCGGGAACGCCTCCGCCTTCAGCTTCTTCACCAGGAAGGAGCGGGGCATGGCGGGGCCGGGCAGCGCTGGACACCTCCGGTACCGGCACCGCCACCGGCCCCCGCACCGGCCCCGGCCCCGGCCCCCCCCCCGCCCCGGCCCCGGCGCTCGGCCCCGGCGGTGCGCACGGAGAGGCGCGGGGAGGCGAGTGCGAGGGGCGGGGAGGCGGCAGGGCGGCGAGGAGGAGGAGGAGGAGGAGAAGGAGGAGGAAGAGAAGGAGGAGGGGAGGACGGGGGGGAGGAGGGGGAGGAAGGCAAGCGGTCGTGGGGGGAGGGGGCCGCTTCGCCCGGCCGCGCCCGGAGCCCCCCCGGAGCCCCCCCGAGCCGCCGGCAGCGCGGGGCGCCCCGGGCATCACGGCAGTATGGGGTCCCGGTCCCTCCCCCGGATTTCTCCCCCCACCCCGGCCACGGACAATGGGGACACGGGGGGACTGGGGGGTGGGACATGCCGCTGCCTCCCACCGCCTTTGTCTCCCTGCCGCCAGCCCCCAGGGCCAGGGAAGGACGGGGCTGCGGGGTGAGAGTCCCCATCCCGATGCCTGTCCCTATCCCTGTCCCGTCCCTTGTCTTCTCTTGTCTCCATCCCTGTCCCTGCTTCTTGACCCTTTCTCTTTTCTCTGTCCTTGCTCCCTGTTCCTATCCCTGTTCCCTGTTACCATTCCCATCCATCTTCCCTGTTCTCATCTCTGTCCCCAGTCCCTTTCCTCTGACCCCTTTCCCTTGTCCTTTTCCCTGTCCCTTGTTCTCCGTCCTCATATCAAAAACCTAAATTGCAAGCGTGTACAAATCCCTGTTCCCTCTTCCCTGTCCCACCTCTGTCCTGTCCCCATCCCTGCTCACTGGTCCCATCCCTCTTTTCCTGTCCCTTTTCCCACCCATGTCCCCCTCTCCATCCCAGTCCCAGGGAAGCACTGTGACCTTCGCAGCCACAACAATAGCCGGGCTCGTGGCAGTGCATTGTTCCCCGCGGGAGCCCCCACTCCCACTTCCCCCCTTCCCCTCGCCCCTGCAGGCAGCCGGTGGTCCGGTGCTGCCTCTCTCTGGAGTTGTGCTCTCCGAGGGCCTGTGGGTGACACGGGGACCTGGCTGGCAGAGGGCTCTGCTCTCCCCAAGCCCTGTGCAATGTGTTGCAGCGCTTAATAAGGATGGTCCCCCAGCTGTCACTGCAGGCAGAGCACTGGCACGGCTGGCGCGGGGCAGCCCTGGGCACCCCCAGCCTCGGGAGGCACCAGGCCCTTTGGTCAGGGATGTGGCATCAGGTCTGGAGGCCAAAAGCAGCACCTCTACAGCTGGCACTGTGGGCCTGACTACTCACAGCCATGTCTGCTCCTTCAGTCGTGCCCAGAGACACGGCTGGAGCCAGCCCTGCATTGCATCGGGCAGTGCCCCTGCTCACTGCTTTGTGTGGTACCCCACAGCCCAGGGCATCCCACAGCATCCCACAGCCTGGAGCATCCCACAGCACTCAGCATCTCACAGCATTTGATACCCCACAGAATCCCACAGCATCTGATATCCCATAGCATCCCACAGCATCTCACAGCATCCCACAGCTCAGTGCATCCCATAGCTCACAGTATCCCATCCCACAGTATCCCATATCCAGAGTATTGCACACTCCACAAGATCCTAGGGCTGCTCCCCATATGGTCTGGGGTCTTTCCACCCTACTCCCAGGGCTGTGGGTCCTGGGGCTGTGGGTCCCAGGGCTGGTCCCCACACGGGCTGGGGTCTCTCCACTCGCTCCCACAGCGCTTGGCCAGGGCTCGCTGGCAGCACCATGAGCCCCATCTGTCCCCGCAGCGCTGCCCTGACGTCAGGGCTCTGCCAAGTTCAAGGTCACCGCTCCCAGAGGGCTGCGGCCCCGGGGGGACATCGCCTGCCGGGCTGCTCCCGGCATCCCACACACACACACACACCGGGCTCTCGGCCTCTGCTCCCTGATTTATTTATCCGTGCGTGTGTTGGTTCTCTCCTGGAAGGCACGTTTGCAGAACGGACGATTACTTACGCCCTAGTTGGGCCTGCCTGAACGCTGCCCGCTGCCTGCCTGCTGCCCACTGCCTGCTGCCTGCCCGCTGCCTGCTGCCTGCCCACTGCTTGCTGCCTGCCCGCCCGCCCGCTGCGCTGGGATTTTGTCTCTCTCCAGGCTGCGGTGTAATAAGGGAGGTAATTAAGTGTAAAAGGCAGGAGGAGGGAGTGCTGGGAGGGGGGAGCAGCCCCGGCTCCTTTCGGAGGCAGGGGACTGCAATAATGTATGATAATAACCGCAGCCAGCCCTGCCGAGCTGATAGCGCTGACAGCAGTGCCTGGGCCCCCCCAAACCTGCCCCCGCCGCCGTGGGGAGGGGGGGCAGCGCCAGAAGAAAGGCTCAGCCTTCCTCCGACGGGTTTGTGCCTTCCCGAGCAGCTGTATGGAAATAATTCCCATCGGAGGCAATTGTTTCCCCAGCAAGAGGGAGGGGTCTGTGGGGGTACGGTGGGCGAAGGGTTTTGGGGGCTCCCCAGGGGAGGAGCATCCTTTTGGGGAGCAGGAGGAGAGGGGTCAGGACTCTGCTTTGGCTCCCAGTCTCCCCACAAGGGACACATCCCACTCCCAGGATGAGACAACCTGCCCTGCTGTGCCCCCACGTCTCCCACTGGTCCTCAGGCCCCTGTCCCTTGTGGATCCTGGATGTGTGGGGCTGTGAGGTCAGCCAGGAGCTGCCGGGGAATGCTCAGTGGTGCTGGAGGTCAGAGCCTGCTGCCCTCACTCCTGCCCTCTCTGCTGCCTCAGCTGCAGGACCCCCACCAATGCCAGCTTGGGAGGCTGCTGGCCATTAGGTATTCCAAGTGCGTCCTTCCCGGAGGCGGCCGGGCCGCAGCCGGAGCCCCGAAGTGGCTCCAATCCGTGGTCTGGTGCTGCCGCCAGCACGGGGAGCAGATGCCAGACAAAGGGCCGGGGACAAAGGCCCGGCTGCCTCGTGCCCCAGGGAAGGGGCGCAGGCGCGTGCGAGGCACGGGCGCTGTCCCATCCCGGAGCTGCCGCTGCACCCTGACCCCCCGTGCCTGCCATACCCTGGTGCTCACCTGGCTCCTGACCTGGCCAGCACTGTCAGGGCACAGCTGGGTACCAGGTGGCCCAGCCCTGGCATTGGTGGTGTGACACCCCTGCCGATGGGCATTGTGCCCACACTGCTCCAGTGCGGGGCTCTGCTGCGGCCCCTCTCCAGCTCTGCACCCCCAGTGCTGCCCTTCTTGGGTTGCAGCGGGGCTGAGATGGGGTGCAGAGAGGCACAGGGCTGCAGGGAGGGTGCAAAAAGCACAGACGGGGCCATAGCAGAGGATGGCAAATGTCAAGTACGTGCCCCCAGTTCCACCGTGCCTCAGTTTCCCCAGCTGCTATTTGGGGCCCTCGTGAATGCGCCGTGTTCCCCCGCCATCCCCCTCCCCATGACTGCCTTTGTCCCCGCTCCCCCCAGCTGGCTGCAAACCCCCTGTCTGGGGGCAGCTGCCACAGCACAGGGCCGGGAACGCTGCCGGAGCTGCCGGGTGCAGCTGGGGCTGTGCCCACCCGTGGAGTCCAGGGGGGCTTTGGGGCACGATGCCAAACGGTGACAGACCCCCCAGGGGAAGGGATGGGACGTGGCCCCAGCTGAGAGGTACCCAGGCGGGGGGCACTGGCACAGGCAGCCCCCTCAGCATGGGGGGCAGCAGGGAGGCGGAGGGCTGAGCAAACACCTTCTATTGCTTTCATGTGATGGGGACACCCTGTACCCAGGCTGGGGACAAAGCCACGGAGCTGCTGCTGCCTGGGGACCTGGCAGAATCTGGTGGGGAGAAACGCCTGCAGCCATCCCAGTCCCAGCGCTGCTTCCCAGCCACCCAGCCTCGCTGGTTTTGGGAGTTCGTGCTGGCAGAAGGGTTAGTCCTGGGGTGCCCGTCCTGCTGGGCACTGCAGGCTGCAGTAGTCAGCGGATTTGAAGAGGCTGTAGATGTTGACGAGGGGGAACATGAGCAGTGCCCCGAGGAGGGAGCCCAGCTGCTCCAGCATCCCGTACCACACCAGTGCACTGCGGCTGCGGCTCCGCAGGATCACCCCGGCCATCACCTTCACGTAGGTGAGCGTCCCGGTGAACAGCACCCAGGAGAGGACCTGGCAGCACAGGGGGGAGAGAGGTCAGCAGGGCTGCGGGAGGTTCCCAGCTGTGGGGGTGGGGGACAGATCCAGGGGTGGTCTCAGAGATCTCCCCGGGTGGGAGGGACCCTGTGACTTACAATGATGGCATCGCCCCACTGGGACTGCTGGAGGAGTGGACAGGGACTCATCACTGCCATGGCCATGTTGTAGGCACCAAAGCCTGTCCCTGCCATGGTGAGGAAGCCCATCAGGGACAGGGACCTGCAAGGGACATGTGAGTGACACTGGGGAACACCACCAGCCCATCCCTGGATAGCGGCAAAGACGGCTCCTTGCTGGCTTCATCCTCCATTCCTGGGGTGTCTGTGCTGCCAGGGCACGGGCACCCCACAGACCCTCTCCCACTCAGTGCCTTCTTCGCAAGCCCCTGCAAAGCAGGAGCCATTCTTAAGGCAGAATCCCCCGGGGTGCACCTTGCTGCATCTCCCTGCACCCCACTACCTACCTGCTGGGCAGGAACGCGGCCACGACGCAGGCGAGGGGGTTGGCCATGTTGCTGAGCGTGGCTGCCAGGTGGTAGGTGGTGTGGCCATAGGGCAGGCAGGAGTAGGACTGCACCGACGGCAGGACCCCATTTGTCAGGGCGCTCGCCCAGGTGATGAGGAGGTAGATGAAGGTCACCTTGGTCAGGGAATAGGAGACCTTCTCTGGCAGAATGTCCCCTTGTCCCTTGGGATCCTTTGAGCATGAGCAGCCTCTGCTCAGTTGCGAGTCAGCTGCCTGGTCAAGGATCTGGTCAAATGAGTTCAGCACAATGTTGCCGGGAAAGAGCTGCTGCTGGGAGAGCTCCCACACCTTGGGCTGCCGGGTGAGGAAGAAGAAGGCCAGCAAGCAGGTCAGCATCATTGCAGTCATGAGCAGG